ATTCAGTCATCTTCCTTCTTGTATGAATGATTCATTGTAATATATATATATATATGATTAATAGAAATAAAATTTGTTACTTAGCTGATTAATGTTATATTCAGCATCACGACTCTAGAGTTTCGTAGAAGAACATTTTTGTAATTGTTCAATACACTCTTCAGCAGATTTCAGCAATTAGGATAATGTATCGTTTTTACGGTATGTTGTATTTAAGGGAGGTGCATAATATCAGGGACAAGGCCTATGTAAGCTGTGCCGACACAAAAATAAATCCTGGGTGGCGACCGGCTGTTTCATGCTTAAAGGCAATCGTCAGCGATGACTATCGCCATCCAAAGTTGATACCTGTGTCCACACTACTAATCTATCTATCTATCTATCTATCTATCTATCTATCTATCTATCTATGTGTGCATATGTTTGCATTTTAGGTTCCCAACGCTATGTGTTCCTGACGTGGTTTTTCATAGCAGGTAGGTTTTACGGCGTTGATTTTCTCCACATTAAATAAAATATATTTCACTACAGGAGACGATAACTTGAAGAGTGTATAAAATATTTAATATGCGTACAAATTAATAATAATACTTTTGGAAAAATGCTATCTCAGTTCGCCCTCTTTGACGGTTACACATGACGTCACGTTGGACTGATTCAAACATTTAGCTCTGTACCAAGATGCAGCCAACGGAATCGTGCCTACGACAATGGGAACACATGATTCTTGATAATAACTGGAACCGTCTAAAGTACTTTAAGAAAATCAACAGCATATATATATATATATATATATATATATATATATGAATGAAGAAGAAAGAAGGAAAATTTATCTTAGTCGACGCGTTTCGTTCTCCGAGAGAATTTATCAGGGCAAAATCATGTGATAAAGTCTCTCTGAGGAGGAAATGCGTCGGCTAAGATAAATTTTCCGTCTTTCTTTATTCATATTGTCCTTTCACTGATACACTCTATTGGAAATTTTTTACATGCACACACACAAACACACACACACACAAACAGACATATATATATATATATATATATATATATATATATATATGAAGAAGTCATAGAGTTTTTAATTTATTAATCCGACAGATTTTTAGGAATTTAAACGTTATTTTTGGAGGATATACATATCTAAATAGACGCCCCATTTAATTTAAACATTATAACATTTTTATATATATATATATATATATATATATATATATATGTGTGTGTGTGTGTGTGTGTGCGTTCGCGTGTGTTTGCGTCTGTGTGTGTACATCATTTTGCAGATTTAGCTGATGGCCAACGAAAATTCTATCAGCTATATATTCTTTTTCGGTTTAGACCATTTTTCTTGCTTCCACATGAAAATGAATTCTGTAATATCATTGGAAAATTGAATGCGAGTCTATGAAACTCAGATTGGAGACATTCAACAGCTTACTGACCAAATTATCTTGTTAATATATATATATATATATAATAAAATATTTACTTATTTCTTCTCGGTATTACTAAACTATTTTTTGATTCATTTTCTTTTTTTTTATTATAACATGTTAATTCGGATGCAAGACTGCTCACCTAAAACATTATCGTTCAAAAACGCCTTGGTTGACCATTTTTTGCAAGCACGCACGCACGCACGCACGCACGCACGCACGCACGCCACGCACGCACGCACGCACGCACACACGTGCGTGTGTCTGTCGTTATGAAGGAAAGTATCTTTGAAGTCCATATCTGCTAACAATTTATTTTCATATCCGAAACCCAAACATTTTAAACATTTTTTAACGAATTATTTTATCTATATTACGATATGCGTTTTATTTTTACTGGATACACGTATTTAATAAGAAATCTCTGTTGTTTTTTTAACAGTTTATTTTCATACTGAAATGTTATGCAATATCGTTCCTTCCTATATAGCAGTGAATGCTGGACCATCTAATCACAGATGGAGAATAGACTTGAAGCGACAGAAAAGTAGTTCTACTAAATGTTGCTGAGAATACCATGGACGGAGCATCTGAGCAACGACGAAGTTTTAAAAAAATGGGAACAAAATAGGACACTTTTGCATTAGAAAGAGACTGATGAAATTTCTAGGGCAGATAATGAGGAAAGAGAGCTTGGAAAATTTAGCACTCACAGGACATACCGAAGACAAGAGGGACAGAAGAAGACGGTGCATAATCTACCAAACAAACTTGTGCAGATGTTTGGCCAAACAGGGATTAGGAGATATAGCAAAAAGGCAAGCTTTACTAAGGACAGGAAATTTTGGAAAAACCATGATCGCCCAAGTCCTGAAGGGACACGGATGATATTTTCGTCTACCGGACTGGTATTTCGAGACTATTTAATAAAGATTATGCACCCTTTGGCAGGATAACGATGTGTATAAAATAAGGAGATATGTCAGTGAAGGAAAGAAAAAGAAACGTAACTGTTTTTATACACACACACGCGCATAAACCCGCCCCCGCTATCGCGCGCGCGCGCGCACACACACGCACGCACACACACACACACACACACACACACACACACACACACACACACACACACACACACACACCAACTGTCATCTCAATTCCTTAACTTTACTGGTCAGTGTAAACTATTCAATTCCACCATGTCAGTGAGCGTCCTCTTTACACACTTCAAAATAATTCTAATCATATGGAATTCTAGGAAAACGGCTGTGTCAAATCTGAAGTGAGTTATTCCTACCACCGTCGACGGAACTCACATTTTTAATCGTGACCCCCAACGATGGACACCCGGCGGGACTTTGCAGACGCCCCCCCCCAGGTCCGAACCCAAATTTGTCATTGGTTGGGGTGGTTCAAGCTCTAATGATGTCAGGGTGGAAATATATCATTGTCACTGATATTAAAGCCGATAATAAGCGCATCACGTGTAGCGTATCTCCGTCGTAGGAATGGCTAGTGCGATTATCATCTCTGCCCCTTGGTTACGCGCCCACGTCATCGCTACTTTTCAGATACACGCATCTATCAACTTAACTACCAACATAAATTTTGACTCGAAGTCCCTGAGCGCTGTTTGGTATTTGCAAGTATATATATATATATATATATATATATATATAAAATTATTTAAAAAAAGATTTTCGTTATTAAAGTTTCATGTTTCAAAACGAGAGCCGAAAACCCAAATATAATTATTCAAATTAAATTGAGTTAAAGTATCTAGCACTGTTTCATCCTCAAGTGAAAATTTAACTTTAATTTTAATAATTATATTGAGGTTTCGGCTCTAGTTTTTGAAACATGAGAACTCTTATGTAGCGAAGGAATCATATTTTTTTTAAAAAAATAATTATAATTTAAGCGCTACTTTGTATGGAGCACTGTTTTTAAAAATAAAAACAAAAATACTAAAGAACCCGGATTATTTACCAACATAACATGTTCTTTACACCTACACACACACACACACACACACACACACACACACACACACACACACACACATATATATATATATATATATATATATATATATATATATATGAGAAAATATCTGAAAAACCGACATTTACGCTAGACGGTTTCTACCAGTGTGGTATCATCAGAGATTTAGTGCCTGGTGATACCTCTCTGGTAGAAACTGTGGCAGCGTAAAGGTTAGTATTTCAAATATTTTATGTCTTAAATTGTCCTATACTTTTGTTTTTTGATAATTTTATTGAGCCCTATTTTTAATTAACCCCCTTTTTTGGCAAATATTACTTGTTCTCAAAGTCTGATTTTTGGAGTAATGGATATCGGCTCGGATTGAGGAATCGGAGAGCCGAGTTCGAATTCCAGTCGAATCTATTACATTCACCTACGTGCTAATAACTTTGGGAAAGATATGAATTCTCTTCTTCTCCCTCCAGCTGTGGTTAAATAGCAGGACAGACCGGGTTCTATAGCCTTGTATGGCAACTGGTCTACCACAGAAAGGAATAGCAACCTACTGTGGGAAAAATTTGCACATAACTGACTGACTAATGTGCATATATATATATGAACAAAAATTTTATACCACCGAATTTATATACTATTTTAAAAATGACGGGGCGTATTTTTTTTTAAAGGAACATTTTTGTCCAACACTTCTTCAGAAAGAGTCGTTGGGAAAAAAAAAAAGAAACATACAAATTTAATTTAGTCAGTAGACAGGATCCGAACCTGCGTCCTCATAGATCCGTGGCCGAGGGGTCTAGATCACATCGGATAAAACGACTGTTTTCCCTGCACAAAGCGACGCAGATTTGAAACCTGCTCGGGAGCGCATCTTTTCTTTAACAAGATTTCTTTAATATTCAGGTCGTAAGATGAAAATAAATAATTATACTGTTTAATAAATAAATGGAGCTTCTATTCAAATATGGGCATCCCCTAAATATAACGTTTAAGTAATAAAATTTGTCGGATTAACAAATAAAAATATATCACTTCTTTTCTTTTTCTTTTTCTTTCTTTCTTTCTTTCTTTCTTTCTTTCTCTCTCTCTCTCTCTCTATATATATATATATATATATATACAATTTTTATATATGATATATGCGCGGCACTTATTGGACAGCCCTCAATATTAGCAATAGATCTAACATGTTTAGTCGCGTTGATGTGAGTTTGTGACCCTGGGATTCACACACTTTGCGATCGTCAGACAAACTCTTTTGTTTGTCTTTTCTTTGTCTAACGACCGCAAAGGGCGTGAAACCCAGGGTCACAAACTCACATCAACGCATTTATATATATATATATATATATATATATATATATAGAGAGAGAGTAGAGAGAGAGAGAGAGAGAGAGAGAGAGAGATAGTGTGCACATAGGAATTAACACTGCATGGTACTTATCAGTTTCATACCTCAATCTAATTTTAACACAATTTCTACATTTTCTTTGCTGGCTGTATATATACACTATCGGGGGAGGCTTAAGGTGAGTGGGGGGGAAGTGGAAATTGATCTTTGCCAGTTCTTTTGTTAAAGACTTTGAAAGAGCTTATTTTGTATATCGTACAGGGTACTGACCAAAATTCCAAGTAACTTAAGCAGAGAAATAGCTTTCTTTAAAAATGTAAGAAAATTATTATTATTATTATTATTATTATTATTATTATTATTATTATTTAATTTCTTGGTGAACTGATTTCGAGAGATGTATGAAATGCCTGGAAAGACACGGGAGACTTTTGGATAGTACCTCGTAAATTGTGCTACGAGACTTTGCTTTAACAATACCAACCAGCCAACAATTGAGATCAAGCTGTATGAAATCTGTTCATAAACTAAATTATGTTAAAGAGCCATACCAGCTTGGCACTTTTGATGAAAAACCAAACCTCTCGAATTTCGGTTATCTTCCCTGTTACTTGATTCACTACAAAACGGAAGATTGGGGAAAGTTAAAAATGTAAAATATTTGACTTAAATGATTACCCTTTTAGTAAGCTTCGATGAATCCCAGTTACTAAGATACTTAAAAAAAATTCCAACTCTATTTCAGCTTAAATTTATCTCAGTCTTTACCCTAAACATTGTCTACAAACATGCGGCTCCCAATTTTAAGTTTCACCTGATAGACATGCGCAGTACCGCGTGTAAATTTAATGACCATTAAACATTCACGCTAATTTCTTTTCGTCTCATCTCGGCGTGTTACGTAAGTGGTGACACCTGCTGGGTGAGTTTTCCAGCAATCGGCGACATCGGTTTGCACCAAACAATTGACTATGATATTTGTTTTGGTTTGGTTGATTTTCTTTAGCGGCATATCAACATCTGTATGGGTTATTTAATGCCGAAATCTAAATATTCTGAACAAATTTACGGCTTCAACTAAATATTTTGAACGAAATTGTATGCCTTCAGCTACAGATAAAATGTATTGTTGGTCATTTTGCTATAAAATGTATTGTTGGTAATTTTTTTATATAAAAATGCATTGCTGGTATTTTTACTATAAAATGTATTTTTATACTTTCATCGTGTTTCGTTTTTATCTGGGGGTTCACTATTTGCTGGGACCCTAACAGGTGCTACCACGACAGGACAAGGAGGACCTGGGAACAACAGCAACTAAGAAATGGTTCCACGCTCCTCAAAACCTCCTGACCAGACACCTTGCTGCCGGATGTAGTTTATCGTCATACACAGGACTAGTGATATTTATAACATGTTTATTAACACTTATGTTTGATTAAACTTAACTTATTATCTTCAACCTTTATTGGTATATATTGAGCTGATGTTATCCTGATCCATAACTAAGTAACGAGAAATAAAGATGGCGCGAATTATGGAGATATTGGTATCTGATAATAAAACAGAACATTTTTTTTTGGCTTTTTCGCACGGGTAGGAACATTTATATTACTCCTGATGGAATATAACACTATTGACAACTATGCACATAACCTTCTCGGATTTTGTTTGCGTTTTTAATGCAAGTTGTATACAAAGATAATAAGTTGCCACTTTTAGTGGGATTGATAGCTGACGCATTGGTAAAATACAAAACAAAACAAAAACGATCGTTGTGTCAATTTGGAGCCGCTTACAGTACAAATTGGAAAAAATCAATTTTTCCCCAAAGGGACAGATATAGTATGTTTTTTTTTTTTTTTTTTTTTTTTTTTTAAAAAATCGGTGTCACCCCATGCAAGGCAGTAAAACCACCAAAACACATGGGGTTAAATGTCGTGGATAAATGGGAACAGAAACATTAACAATGAACGGAAAGAGAAAAGAGTAATTAGTAAGACAGTAGATAGCGATTGACATTACATTTAAATTTTTGCAGACTAAAGCTGCCTGGGAAGCATGGTGCCGGAAGCGGGAAACGCAATAGAAGAAACTATTAGCATAGAACTTACAGCTACATCTAGCCAACTCAACTGTAAATTGATGAGATCTTGACGCCAGTCTAGTACTGCGCTTAAGTTCATAACGTGTAGGTAGCATAGTGAAGAGCTCATCTGAAATTTATAGAAAAGACACAGAAAGGCAATCTTACGGCGGTGTGAAAGTAACTGAAGCCGAGCCACCAGATAATGACCGATAATATTGCTGATTCTTCTTTGGATATTATCAAGGAGCTCAAGGTAAATAGCAGGGACACCGGACCATATGTGACCGCAATATTATGTCGGTAATAAATTCATCTGGTATCAGTTCGACCGGTAATCTTATAACTACCATAAAAAGCTTGTTGAAAAAATGGGACGTGTTGTAGAAAAAAAAGAAGTCATTGTTCTCCATAACATCTAACGCTGATTATTACCGACGTTTTTGAAGTAAAAAATGAACAAAAGTTCAGTAAACCCCTTCGTTTGATTTTGTGAATGCATCCGGTGGGAAATGAAAAAATATTCAGTTCATTTCGATGTGATATTACTAGATTAATGAACGACAAAATTGAAAATAATTTGCATGTAACGCATTTCGGTTTTCGAAAGGACTTAATTATTGATGGAACTATACACTAGCGAATGGAAGACAAGGAAAATTCGTTGGGGATTTTTGAGGACGAGAGTGCTAATGATGAGTGAATATATCTATCTATCTATCTCTCTCTCTCTCTCTCTCTATCTATCTATCTATATATATATATCTATATATATATATATATAAAGAAATAATCATATATAGAATCAATCAGCAATATTAATGCGATTAATGGCGAAATCACTTCGCTAGTAGAACATAATGTATGCATTAAAATACTGTTAATCCATTGAATGATGTGATCCTCATTTATAAAACTGTTGTCAGATGTTTCTAGTGTATATTTTTTTAAGTTAAGCGAGTACATTCGAAGACCATGTCTCCATCCTCAGGCTGTAATTTTTTCCCTTTAAAGTTAAAACTTGAAGACGAAATAATTGTTTGTAGACCGAAAGATGTTTTTTAAGAA